TCCTTCCTCTAGACATTACCCAAATGAGGAAAAATTAAAAGAAACTTAATACTATCATAAGAAATATCGACTTTTACTTATATCTTGTGTTTTAGCAATTAGAATCCAAAAAATTTTTATATTATTTGATTCGTCTCAGTAAGACGAATCGAATGGTGCTAAAATTTTTCGATTTTGTTCAGTGTATCTCGAGATATTTTAAAAAAACTCCAGTGCGCCACATTACTTCCCGCGCCAGAATACCCTATTTCACCTCAACATCAACAATAATAGCGCAATTGTTTAAAGTAACACTAGGACCAGATCACCAAACGTCAAATATCACATGATTTAACACGTCACGAGAAAATTTGTTCATTTCGAGTGAGGCAATTATCAAAAGGACAACAATAATTCTTTTGTTTTGGCTGGATCTAGTGCTATGCATGTGTTATTAATCGGCTCAGTACGTAGTAGGCTTGTAACAAACAAATAGCTATGAGAACTTGGTTCAGTCATATTTTGCACAGTTGATTTCCTCATAAACGTAACACCGGATAGATAATCCCCTTTTAGAAATGCAGGTCTTTTTTTGCTTATCGTTATCATGACAATGCCAAGAAAATGTTTAGTATTCAGGTAATGCATTTAGACTTTTCTGGTTACAAAATGCGCAATTATGATTTGTTTGCAAGTTTGAAGGGAAAATATTTATCTTCATATTTGGAATGTATTAAAGATAAGAAAATCCAATATCAAGCAGTTAGAATGTACACGTAAATTGTCATTCGTTCGACTTCAAACTTTTGAATTTTAGATCCAACGAAAATGCTGTGATTAATTAAAAGACCACATCACTTCTAGTCTCTTCACTAATAGAACGAGTTGCTACTAATTTTTTTTTACTTCTGCTTATTTTTATAATTCTCTTTTTTAAATTCTTTGGAAAATTCTACGATACAGTATAAGCTTATTATTGTGAAACATATTTCAAAAAAATATGAATGCGTTTTTTGTTAATCTGTTGTGCTTGTGTTATGATATTTTTGAATTAAGACAGTTAAAATTGGAAATTGGGAATAATATAAATTTAAAATAACTTGGAATCTTTAATCGTTTACTTGCCAGACTTTATATACACACTCATTTCTTACGTATTATTTTTTTAAGCACTGCACAATTGTTTCCATTGTGCATATGCACATTCTACATATGTTAATAAATATATATATGCTATGTCGAACCCAACAAATTCCACAGAACATATACCGAGTCTCGTCGAATCTAAATTTTATCCTGGTGATATCGCATGGGTTTTGGCTTCGACATGTCTTGTTTGGTTGATGATTCCAGGACTAGGGTTCTTTTACAGCGGGATGACACGCTGTAAGAATGCATTATCTTTAATAATGTTATGCTTTTTAACCGTTCCAGTAGTATCAATTCAGGTAATTATTTTATAAATTGATATTTGAACTTTGAATTTGGTTTAAATTTTTTTTTCTTTAGTGGTTTATGTGCGGTTATAGTTTAACATTTAATAAAAATGGTTGGTTATAATGTGTTTATTCAAATTATTCGTCAAAACCAATTGTAAGGTTTATGCTTTTTACATAATTAATCTATTGTTATCGTTATAGGCGGACCATTTATTGGAAATTTTGACAATGCATTTTTTATAAACGTATTATCAGATGTCGGACCAACTTCGACCACATGGCGTATTCCAGAACTTGTATTTGCAATTTTTCAGGGTATGTTTGCTGCGATTACTCCTGCCATCGCTATTGGGTCAGCAGCCGAACGTACGAGACTGATTCCTACCCTCATATTCATCTTTATATGGACCACATTTGTATATGATTTTATTGCTTCATGGTGTTGGTCTGCTAATGGATGGTTTTCTCAGCTTGGAGGACTCGATTTTGCTGGTAAGTTAGAAAATAGGAATATAGTATAATTATTAAAAAGGATATTTATATCATTTTCTTTTTTTTTAGGTGGTACCCCTGTACATATTACATCTGGTGCAGCTGCTTTAGCACTTTGTATTTTTCTCGGGAAACGACGCAATCATGGGACAGATGAATTCAAACCACATAACATCACTTATGTAGTTCTTGGTACAACTTTTCTCTGGTTTGGGTGGTTCGGTTTTAACGGTGGTTCTGCAACGGCGGCGAATGTAAGAACATATTTCAATTATTTGAATAATTATCATATTAAAATTATATAATCGATGTACGTACGTACGTACTGTACGTACATATGTACTTTATATTTTTATCGTAGATGCGTGCTATTCTTGCATGCACAGTAACCAATTTGGCAGCGTCTTCAGGTGGACTCACCTGGATGATAATAGATTACCGAATGGACCATAAGCTATCAGCACTTGGGTTTTGTTCAGGAGCCGTCGCTGGTTTAGTTGCAATAACACCAGGATCAGGTTATGTGGCGCCTCATTTTGCTATTGTTTTTGGTGTTTGCGGTGGAGCTATTTGTAATATGGCAGTTAAATTGAAACATATTTTTGGATTCGATGATGCTTTGGATGTCTTTGCCGTTCATGGTATTGGAGGATTGGTTGGGAATATTCTCACTGGAGTATTTGCTGATAAAAATATTGCAGCACTTAGTGGTGAAGATATTATGGGAGGAGTTATAAATCATAATTACATCCAACTGGCCAAACAATTATCATCATGTGGAGCAGGTCTTGTGTATTCTTTTGCCATGACTTATATCATTCTTTTAATTTTGAATCAGATTCCATTTCTTAGACTACGTTTAGATTATAGCAGTGAAGAAATCGGTACGGATGAATCCGATCATGGTGAATCTGCATATTACTTTGTTGAAAAAGCAATAAATGGTCTAAGAATAATTCCAAAACCTATGTCTCAACCATCATCACCACAAGAAACGAGTGAAAATATGTATTAGAAAAAAAGAAAATGATTATATGATGTGAACTAGGAAAAAAAAAAACCAATTAATGCATCAAGTATTCTCTTTAAATCTTATTTACTGAATTTCCCTTTAATTTATAATAAATGGTTCTTTAATTTAATATATTTAGATTTTTTTTTTTTTTTGACTAAATAAAAGCTGTTTTAAGTTTATAAATATAGAATATTTATCCAAAGCATCTATTTTTTTGCGCCACATTTTCGGTTTACTAATATTGGAATTCTTTATCCGACTTTTAAGTTCAGTGAAAAAAATTGTTATGCTCAATTTTATCCCGGTTAATGGGCGATAGTACGCGGTTGTTACACGATATCGTGAGATTTTCCACGCGTTTAAAATTTTGAGTAAAACTTTTGATTTATGAAACATAAGTGCAATCAACCTTGGTGTAAAGGTTAATTACCGAATAATAAAAATCGTAATTTTTATTAAAAATTTTAACATAAAGACCATCGGATTAGGATTTATGTTAAGAGAATTATGTGATCAACCGTTTTTTTTTAAACTTCCATAACTGATAATGATAATGAGATGCATATAGACAGTTAATATAAATATAGCACATCCGCATGTTATCATGTGATACAATGCTGTGTGATATTATTCCCGGGATTTACGTGCTATACACATTTGAGTGCCAAGAAAAATTGAACACCTGGCTTTTTTATTATCAACGAGATATATGACGTAATTAACGATAAACGATAAATTTACTTTACGTACGATATCATATATTGATATGTCTGATCAGAGCTGAGTCTGGTGAACAATAAATAATAAACTTGAAGGCCTGAAGATCTGGGTTTTCCCTTGGCACTCATTTTTTCTTACTAGTTGTTCCCCGGGACTTATTCGAAAATGTAAAATGTAATTGAATTGAACGAGGACAAAGCGATGTGATTAGTAACATGAGTTCCCGTTACATTGTCAGCACATTTATTTAACCGTGTTGAAAAGTAATTGAAGCATTTTTCCAGTGTCACATATATAGGGTGATTTGTGCCCATATATGCTATCAGCTACAAATAGTACTGACAAGATTGTAATAAACATTATATTATGATTAGGGTTATGATTAAAGGAATTTTTGGTTAGTTATTGTTAAAGCAACTTATAGCGATAATGCATCTGACGACTATATTGATCGGTAAAAACGTACGTATGATTTTCACGTTACACCTGATCTTGTTACTGAAACTATCAGCTATTACGCAATGATCTGCTGTTCGACCAATTAAAATTAATCATGAGTCGCGAAGTTTTCACTACCTGATTTTAATTCTATATATTTGTAAAATTATAATAAAAAAATTTTATTGAATTTTGTCAGGTAGTTGTCGAGAAAACTTTGCTCAAAGTTTAGAAAAAACTGTCCCGTCTATCAGTAAATCAGTGCTTCTAAATTTCTTAAAACTTTCAAATCAAAAGATTTGGTTGGTCGAGAAACTTCACCAATTCTACTCATTCGTAGAATTAAAATAAAAAAAATGTCGAATTTGGTCAGGTAGTTATCGATAAAACTTCGCTTAAAGTTTTTTTTTAAAAAAAAAAAATTGCAAAAATTGTTTACACGTATGTTAGACCCTTGATTAAAACTGTTGGGTAAATAGATTTTCACCCTTAACGTTAATTTTTAATTTTGATTCACTGGTCCGTTTTGGATGATTTTACCACAAAAATGACCATCTTGATGAGACAGTTCTAATGAGCCCAAAGTCGCCAAACTCAATCATAAAATTCCGAAATCGTTAAGATTTTATGTCACACCAAGTGTTTCATGTCAAAATATCACGTGAGTAACTTGAAATAGTTAGGGGAATGAATTTTGGGGATACATGGTGCTTATATGCCACCGGGGGCAGTCAATTAAAAATCCCGACGGTCAGAATTTCAACGAAGTAGGTTCTTATAATTTAATTAACTTTGGGGTTAGCTCACTTTAGATGAGGGTTAGTTATGTTTATACTGTATTTTTTATCAGAATTTTTAACTGTTGGGATTTTTAACTGTAGGATTTTTGGCTGTCGGGTTTTTTTGTCAGGATTATGACCTGTCTAAAATAAGTTGCGTTAAAACTCAAAGCTATAATCCAAAAATTTTTATCTTTGTATGACAATTAATTTCGTGGCATTATTTTATATTACACATAGTTATATGCACTTTCATTCTTTTATTTGAGTAACTCCAAGCATTGCGAATTCTTTATGCTACGTCAAACTTACAAAGTACTGTAGCATAAAGACTTCTAGCATCAAATTTGATTATATTTCTGATAATTCTGATAATTCTGTGAAACTTTATAAAGTTTAAACTCATTATTGAATAATGGGTCAAAATATTTTGATTGTCATAAAATTGGAGTCTTTGCCTTGAAAATCACGTTATGGGACATAGTAAATAATATTTCCCATAACGTGATTTTCAAGGCAAAGATCCTAATTTATCTCCGTCATTTTAATTTTGACTTATCATACTCTTAGTTTATATATTATATATAACGATATTAAGCTTTAGACAGCAAATTCTATTATAAATGAAAAGCCTTTCTAAATTTTTAAATAATTATTAATTAAACTATTTATTATATTATTTGAACCGTGTTTTTAAGATTTTTGTCACTTCTATTTTTATCGTTATTCGAATATCACAGTCAGAAATTTTTTATACAAATCTCTTATAGTCACACGAAAAGTTATTCGAATATTTATCGATATTAATTTAAATACTTAATTGGTTTTTTGGACGATGATGGAGAAGTTCGAAATGAACCAAATTATTACACAACTGAAATTCCCATAGAATGTTTTCTGAACAGTTGTACAGTATATGCGCGGACGCAATTCCTATTTGTCATTTTGGAGTTCTGGTAAAAATTAAATATTTTTAAGGAACATTACGTTCTTGGATAAATTAATGTAATATGGCATCTGATTGAGCAACCTGTCTTTGTAAAATTTTCCGCGAATCGTACGATATTTTCGGTTTATCAATTCATTATTTAAATCGAAATCTTAATTATGATTCGTGAAAATTTTTTTGTCCAGTTATAGCAAATCTGCCCATGTGATGATATTGTTACAGAACACAAAATACTAAGCACACTACTTAAAGAACCATTCACGTTCATCCAGAAACATATTGAAAATGTATTTGCAATTCGGATTTTTCCCGAGTTTTGTTTAGATTCAAAAAACTTATTTGTATGACCAATTAAGTAAATGGAAGTTACTGTGCTCAGCAATAATGCAATAAAGCATTCATAGAATAAAATGTGTGCGAAAAAAGACAAAGAAAATACACGCAAACTAACGTTTAAATTGACTTTGGTGCTCTAACTATTACATGTTATAAGTAGTTAATATGTGAGTAAGTTGTAAAGATTATTGGTGAAATTTTATATTTATTTGGTAATAAATGCAACTTTATTTCATTTGTCCTTTAGTTCAAACTATAATTTTGCTTGCCTATCTAAGAATTAATATTCAATTAATCTACTGTAAGTACAATACGTATTAAGAGCATGATTAACATAATCTATTTTAAAAGTTATTCTTTAGATTAAAAGCTTAAGCATCTTAACTCACATTTCTTAACCAAAGTTTTAATAGCATTCCGACTTTATACAGCTAACAATGAATTATTTTGCATAATGGATGTTAAGCAAAAGACTAAGTTTTTTTTGGTTGAGAAATGAGTTAAAAAGTATAAATTGAACCTCTAACACATTTACCATGGATTTACTTATTTGTGCCGATAAATATAACCCAAAAAAGGAATTTTAATTTTGTAAATAAACAAAGTGCGTAAAAACACAGATTTAGGGTTAGGATGTTACAATTAGAAGCTATAGCCATAGACTGTTGCTCACAAAAGCAGGGAATGAGACTATATATTATATAGTCTCATCCCCTGCTTTTGCTGTGGCCGTTCCCATGTGTAAAATTTCGTTACCGACATTTTTATTAAACACTAGTTTTTGAGTATTTTCGCTTTTTTCTTCTTTCGCACGTGTTCGGAATTCATGCCGGGCTGATTCGGAACGATCAAAATTCGAACTCACTGATTGGTTATTCCTTTTTAGGAGTTTGTATTACCAGCACAAATAAGTCGTGGTTTATTCAAATCACCTTTTGTGTTTGTATCGCGTACAAATAAATAGAATATCTAGGAATTGTATTTGGCGTAAACTTTATTAAAATTATACTTTATCACATGCATGCAAAGTACCTAAAGCTGTCAATTAGAATATGCGCCGGTCCAAATATGGACACTGCATAATTGAAAAAAAATTTTTCTTTTATATACGTTAAAGTACTTTTTATTCTCGTGATTTTTCAAAAACTTACCAATTAAATATATTTAGATAGAAGAGCTTTTGAATATCTATCTTTTATTAAAATTAAAAAGTTTTTTAGAAACAAAGTTTATAAAAATCTAAAATATTAAATCTGTAATTCGAGTACACAAAAATATTTTAATATTAAAACCAAGAAAAATAATGCAAAACTACGATTTATTATTTTAAAAAAGATAAAAACAAGCTCAAATAGCATTTATACAAAAAGTAAGTAAAAAAGTTGTCTATTAGCTTTAATATTCTTTAAATTTTATAAGGAAATTTTTAATGTCTATACTGTTAAAATATAAAAAGAAATAATTTAAAATTAATTTAAGGGTAGGGTGTACAAATTTATAATTTCATATAAAATAGATTGTAGATCAACTTTGTGTAACCAATTTTATATGATATCATATGATTTACATGTAAAC